ATCCTTGTATTCTCTCACTCCTGAAGATTGCATTAGCATGAAACAGTCTGTAGAGTGATAATACCCAGTTCTACAAGTTCTACATTTTCAATGCTCTGCATTATCACGTTCCTGTATATTTTTATAATTGATTATTGTTCCTGGTTGTGCCCACTTTATAATTTTAGTTTTCGTTCTCGGCACCATACCTAATATAAAAAAACACATCATTATGGGCAAAAACAATACAATACTTGTTAATTTATTTACTATAAATCTAGTATGACTAATCCAAGCATGAGAAAAATAACAGGAGGATCCAGACTGATATCCCGTATGAACAATAGCAACTACACAAGGAGTGTTTATTGAAGTAGGTTCCCACTATTGCATTAAAACACTAAAATAAAATGTTCATATTTTTTAAATTAAAAATCCCTTTTCTTTGGAATGATGTAATAATCAAATATAAATGTATATATTAAAAACATAATTTCGAATATTAGTGATCATCACCATTTTTATTTGGATATAGGCCTTTTTTAGATTTGCAAGGTATTATGCATCTTGTAGGCTATGAAATCTACACGTTTTATACATAATTGATCTCATTATAGGCTATGTTTTATAATATATCCTAATTTTTGTGTTTTATAATATTATCCTAATTTTGGTTGTGATTTTCTTGATCTATTATTTCATTTAACAGATATACATCATGAAAATACCATTAACAGTTAGCATAGTCTATGCAATGCTTGAATATGTAAAGTCCTGTTCCATGTTATTCGAAAGGGTGTTATTTTATATTTTAGTCCCACCAGGGTATGTGATAGGTCGAACTTCAGACGCTTTCTTGTGTGTTCTATCCGGCTTCGCGTATAGTTGTGGTAAATGTTCAGATGAAGCAGTTACACGCTTCTTATTCGGCTTACTGTACAGATCATCAACCGAATCCGATCGGTTTGAGGACGTGTTAACATTTTTAGTAGATCCCAAAATATTTTCTAGAGACTGATGAATTGATTGTCGGTGTTTTATAGGCTTTGCATATAGATCTCCAAAATCAGCAATTCCATCAATTGACCGTGTATCTGGGTTCTGCTTGTCCTTTATTGGTTTTGCATAATATGAATCCCCAAAATTAGCAATTCCATTATTTGATTGTGTATCTGGGTTATGTTTTCTATCGACTGGTTTCGCATATAGATTTCCAAAATTAAGTTTTCCGTTTCTTGAACTTGAAACATGGCTCTGTTTACTTTTAAACGACTGTACGTACAATTGGTTCTGCACCTCTACCTCATCATCGTCAAAACTGTTAAAACTACAAAAACTTCTCAAACTGGCAATTGATCCCGTATTCGCGTATGTTTCGAAACCCCTTGGTGTCTCCATTTTAGGATCATTTTCTGCGACACCATGTATATCTACCTTGGTGTCATAGTTGTCATTGTTCAGTTTACCTCTTACAGGAGGGGTTAGGTGGCTTCCCTTACTGCATTTAAACGACTGTGCGTACAATTGGTTCTGCACCTTTACTTCATTATCGTCGAAACTGTTAAAACTACAAAAACTTCCCAAACTGGCAATTGATCCAGTATTCGCGTATGATTCGAAACCCCTTGGTGTCTCCATTTTATGATCATTTTCTGCGACATCATATATATCTACCTTGGTGTCATAGTTGTCACTTACAGGACGGGTTAGGTGGATTCCATTACTGTAATAGCTAAGGTTTATTTCATTGACGAAAGTTGGATTTTCTAGCGGTAAACTGTGAACAATAGCATCCGCTGAGTGTTCCCGATATGAAGGCTTTGCCAAGACAACCGGTTTATCATATGGTGGCTTTTCCTGTAACCTTCTCCGTCTTATTAATATGAAAAGGATGAGACATATTAATGTCAAGAATATTAATCCTCCAATCACAATTGCTACTATTTTGAATATATTAGATTCATTAATTAATGAAATGATGACAGTGTTGCTGCCAGTTAATCCAGACGTTGTCACTGCCTCACATTTTATTTCTGTGTCTGCGTCATCAGATTGCAGATTGTTCATAATTAACGTTGTTTTGTCGTCTGTTACATTATAAAAAGAGTTGGATGTTGCCATTAACTGGTTATTTACAGTCCATATATAATCTGTGATGTTCCATGGAGTCATTGCTAAGCATGTGAATTTTAGTGAATCTCCAGTGTTAAATGACGTTGTGGAAGAGATTATCATGACAGTTGGAGAAACTCGTATATCTATGTAACATGTTTGGTTCAATGTAGCAGCCAATCCCTCTGCTTTACACATAAACACCGCTTCTTCGTCTTCAACAGTCAGTAACCGAGTACTTACATTGAAATATGAATTATTATCGCCCATATTTGTCAAATCATCATGTTCCATCGTGACTCCGTTTCTGTACCATTGTAAAGAAGGCCTGGGATTACCACCACTAGCTCCGCATGTCATCTTGACTGTTTTCTTAGTGTTGACTGTTGCGATGTCAGCTTCACATTCTGGATAAATCGGGTCCAACCGTGATCCATCGATGACTGTTAGGGTAGCTGTCTTTGATTTAGACCCAAATTGACAGTAGTACCGACTTTGATTATCCTCAATTGTAGTGTTTAGTATTGTTAAGCTGCTAGCTTGTCTTGTGTTTCTTAATACAAATTCGTATCCATTTTGTGTATAAGATCCCTCATTTACTATCAATTTTGGTTTCTCATAATCATCTTTAAACCATTGCCACATGTGGGCAGTAGATGTGTCTACGACTTCACAGTTAAAAACAGCATTTTCCTGAGTAAACACATCGAGACTTAACGGATGTATACTAGTCACGGCAAAAACAAATATACGATAACCATAAATTACAGATATAATTAGGCACCAGCCAAATCTGGTCTCACAACGGCTTGCTGTCATAGCGATTATCTTCTAAAAAAACCCACATGCTAATATGCACACGGAAAAAGTGTATTCACCAATGACTAGGTTAGATCACTTGACCGTCTGCAGAAATCGCAACAAGAAGATCATCTCTTTATGTTTTGTTTTCTAGTGCCTTTGCGGTGATACCGTATATTTTAGTGCTCGAGAAACTATGTATTCACAAGCCTATCTAGCTATGAATCTATTTTCTTCCTGCCTTTGTTCAGAAACGAGAACGTCATGCATCAGCAGTGCTTACAGCCAAGTGGCTGTAAATTCTTAGTATTTTTTAAAACCCCTTTTGTGTTTAAGCATAGTAAAATAGTTCAGTCAGTGCATGAAAGATGAAGTTTGTTATATGATTACGAAGTATTATGATGACGTCATGATGGTATGACTTCCTGCATTCTTTGGGAGTTAGTATTTTCATAAACTTTGAACAGAAATATTTTACAATATTTGTGCATTCTTGGATAACCATCATTATCTTTGCCAATCAAAATTTGCCAATTTAACTCGTTTACAACCTTTAGATAATTAAGGTCTTTCATAATTCCAGTAACGGATCAATGTTGAACAATAATGTTTTCAATCAAATTTTAGAGCAACGGTTTTGGGGGCAGGGACTATTAATAATAATAATAATAAATAATAATAATGATGTTAATAATAATAATAATAAATAATAATAATGATGTTAATAACAATATTATTATCTCCGCCAGGAGATATATGTTTTCAGTCGTGTAAGTTTGTGTGTGTGTCACCTTTTCGTATTTGGGTGGGTGTGAAAATGTCCCAGACCAGATATTTTAAAAACTAATTGGCTGATCTGAATGAACGTTTCGTGAAATTTTAACCAAGTTTTAGGGAAGAAACTATCAAAGTTTAGTGACGACCCAAATTGGGATGTTAATTTGAGGGTCATTAGATCCCAAAACTAAATCTCTCTAAACTGTATCAATGGATCAAAGTGAAACTTTCCAGAATAGTTAGTCATGTTTCAATAAAGAAATGTTTTGGTGAGGATCCGAAGTAGGATGTGGATATGAGGACCATTTAAAGAATGTTTACCATACACCGTAGGCAGATACAATTCTGTAAGGCCCATGTATTCATTTCAAAGAGAGCTGCTTGCATCGCCATTTCTACTTGCAAAGAGTAACAGTCCTTTCTGCATTTCATTTAATTTATTCATAAAAACTGGTAACTGGTAAACTGGGGTGAATTGAATATATAATATAGTGCATTTTAAAACTGTTTAAACTGTGCGTGCTAAAAGATGTCTAAGAGATAAATTCAGTATGAAGTGGATTAAAGAGAGATTAGAAATAATACTAGTACAATTATTGTAACCATATAAACAACGAAAAACAAAAGAAACAAGAATTAATTTACATCTTTTCTCAAGAGAAATTCAACCAAGTGCTTTTAACCTATCTGGATAAGACATTTCCGCCATCTTGGCTTTAAGAACCCCTTAGTAACTCGTATTTGGATACGTTCGATTCAATTTGGTTTTTATATTAATTGGAGATATGCTCTCTACTGCGTGCCCTTGTTAAAATTATTATTATTAGACCAAATAAATAATGTACTCACCACCAATGTTGAAGGCATTATCAGTATTCAAATGAGGTTTAATCTATGCAGCAAGGTTGTGGAATTGTTTTACGTATTTGTTATCCAATCAGTACTTAGTTTCTGTTGTACTGTATGGGATAACAGTATAACCAAGGCCGACCATTGCAGGCTAGATAGAGTGGTTAGAACAGCTGGTAAAGTAGTAGGAAATAACGTGGTCGAGCTCGATCTTTACTCTGATCTTCTCTATAAGAAACTATACTTGATTATAGCTGATAAAACACACCCTTTGCATGGGGAAATAATGGTTAATAAATCCGGAAGAATTAGAATGCCGAGTATTAAAACTGGAAGATTTAGGAACACTTTTCTGCCGTCAGCAATTATTGAATTTAATAAGAGAAAATTAAGATAATGTATGTTGTAAGTGGAATGTAGTTAGAATTGTGTTTTTGTGATACCGTTTGTGCTTTCTAATATATTTATATTTATTTTTATGCTGGAGGAGGGAGGAGGGACAATTTCATAATTGTCATCATAATAATAATAAATAATAATAATAATAATAATAATAATAATAATAATAATAATAATAATAATAATAATAATAATAATAACAATAATAATATCAACAACATCATTATCACCATTATCATTATCTATTTTCGCCAGGAGATTTTTAGTCGTGTTTGCGTGTGTGTGTTCAAAATATTTCAAAAACGGCTGTACATAATAATCTAAATAAAAGTTACAGGAGGTGTAGACCCAATGTCGGCTCACATAGCGCACAATATTATACACTCTCGCTATTATCATTGCAGCTATATGTCGAGTCTCACTAACGTCGAGATAGTTGACCTGTTTTTTGACTGATTTAAAAAAATATATAGCTGTTGTTTTTGTTCTAATGTATTTTTCTTTTACCATCTCGTTTTTCTATATTTTTTCTGACAGGCACTTTTGTCTCTTGAAAATATGTTGGGATCTGGGAAAGATAACACGTCTTCAAACCGATCGGATTCGGTTGACGATCTATACAGTAGGCCAAATAAGAAGCGTGTAACTGCTTCATCTGAATAGTTACCACAACTCTTCGCTAAGCCGAATAGTACACACAAGGAAACGTCTAAAGCTAGAACTATTACATACCCTGGCGGGCCTAAAATAGAAAACAATACCCTTACGAATAACGTCGAACAGGAAATTACGTATTCAGGCATTTTGTAGACCTGTGGTCGACGTCGCCAGTGGCTCCATTTCCAATATGGGTCTTGAGTGACTTATTGAAGGTCGTCAAATCGCATCTGGGTCTAAATATATATATATATAATACATACATACATACATATATATATATATATATATATATATATATATATATATATATATATATATAATATACAGTATATATACGTATATATATATATCGAATAAATCATCGAACAAAATATTTTTTAGATAAAATAATTTGATGAAATGTCGGCTATTGTCTTCAATTTGTATTAATGTTTGGCTGTTTTCATCCGATTTACGAATTGATGACCTCGAAAAAACATCGCTATGTGCCGCAGCGCGCCGGTTTGTTGAATAGTACCGTACTTGTGTTTCAAGATACACAGAATTATTGTGTTTTCATACAACGATGACATAAAAACTCTTTATAATTTTATTTCATTGACCAAAGAATGAGTTTCAGTTGAATTTAAAATAACTTATAGCAATAATTTACAATGCAAAATTCATTTATAATATGAAATCAGCAGTAATGTATTTAAAACTACAATAGCTGTATTATGTTCCCAATATTATTCCTTGATGTGGAATCTGGAAGCTGGAGGGCTAAAATGCAAATTACGATAGCGCACCGTCTTTTGGATGAGACATTTAAGCCTTGGCCCCTTATGCAGTATGGCCCGTGGGCACGTTAAAGAACTCTAAACTATTCGGAAAAAAGTAGTGGTTTTTCTCCTCCCGATGTACTACTCAATCACCACCAGAAAAACCCCACTAGTAATACGTCTTCTTCAGACTTTTGTGGGTTATCCTTGATGTTTACACCAAAATAATTCAATCCAATCCACCAAATATTCTTTTTTTCCTTAAATATTGAGCTTTCTGTCGGATGCATGTATCATGAATAGAGTAACGACTCAAAAATACGGGTGCATGTTATAAAATATATCAGAATATGTTTGTATGCAAATTTGTCTTTGAGTCCGGGCAACCCACTGAGATCTAAAAAAACTGCTATCAACAAACGATAAAGATAAAGTTAGTTCTAACTATATTTGGAAAAGCGTTGGAAGATTTGTTAATTTAGTAGACTCACAATTTTTTTTTGTAAAATAATAGCTCATGGCTACTTCCCACCTAATTTTCCCCACGGATTTTTTCCACCCGGGATTTATTTTCCCGGCTGTGTTCCCCCATTTTTTTCGATGTATTATTACTAGTTTTCCTACTGATTTATATGTTTTTTTCAGGTTATTTTTTATTATACGTTATAAGGCAGAACATATTATTTTTATATTTTTTATTTTGTGGTTTTTCTATATCAATTAATTATTGCCTAGTCGTTGTAAGGTTACAATATAAAGGTGTGCCGATGATACAAAATCGTTATCCACTCAATTGACAAAATGACTCTTGATCCACTAGCAATACAGTACTGAGTAAGCCTAAAGACACATTGTAGGAACGTTTTAAAAAGTTTAAATTCGGGTTTGCATGAAAAATATAGGAAGTAAAATAACGATATCAAAATTATTTTCTTATCGTTCTGTATAACTATTTTGTCTTCACCAACAAAAAAAAAACAAAAAAAAAACTCCGGCAATGAGCGGCAATGAGCGGCAATGAGCGGCAATACTATTTCTGTACCTCTACATTACTTTTGAGGTCAGTGCCCATAGTGATTCTCTTCTACGATTATTACGCCTACTTTCATTTCAAATTATCTGTGTTGGTAGCATAACATGCCTATATCATTAAATATATTTCATTTTATTATTGTTATTTAATTTTATTTAATTATCAGTATTAATCTTATGTTAACTTGTTTTATAAAGTATGCGTATTATGTATTTTTTATGGGATTACAACCCAGAAAAACCTAGCCGCAGGAAGAATCTTAGATGACCCACCCTTTGATAATTCCATAATTCGTTTTATCATTTTATTATTTTAACATCAATTTTATTTTAAAAATAATCTTTAATTCATATACAGTATTATGCTTATTGCAGTAGAAAAATCAGGCCTATTCTTAACAATAAATAAGCATAGGGCTACATTTATATCTGTAGGAAATACAGTTACAGATTTATTTATTGAAACAGCTAACTTAAATACGATAACAAAATTTACAATAGGATAAATTTGGAAGGAGCTGTATAGGATTTTTTCTCACGACATAAACAACTCCACTCCCTAAATCTCATATTGAGATTTAGTTTGTGTACAGCATCGTGTGTGTATGTTTGTCGTGTGTAAGGGATTGTCACCTACAAGTAGGACAGTGATATATATTCGCTATTGGCAATCCTTGGCACATGTGTTGTGTGCCTAAAGAAAGAATAATAATAATAATAATAATAATAATAATANNNNAAAAAAAAAAAAAAAAAAAAAAATATATATATATATATATATATATGGCCTCTATACATTGACTGATATATATTAATATTATATTTTATTTATATTTTAATCATGGGGGAGACTTAGGAGATGATTTTTGTACCCTCTTTATTACACCTATTGGGATTAAATGATGACTCTCAACAAGGAGTATTAAAATAAACATCGAATTCGAATACCACCTTGCTCTCACCAATTAAAAGTGATGAACCGTCACCCAAACAGTAGGTTGGATTATCTTTAACTTACACCGGAAATAATGCCTAAAATGAACTTTCCATTGCAATTGTGAATAAATTGGGTGTGTTTTAGAGGCATACGTTTTATAAACTCTAACATTATTATCTATCAAAACATAAGAGCCTGATTAATACCATGTACCTCCGCCCCATGAGCCTAAAAATTGCCGCATTTCTATTTAGTATTTAGCGATAGGTTTATCGTCTAACCATAGTTTTTAAAATAACACATAATACCATTTTAATCAATAGTAAGTCCAACCACTATATTTTACATTTTTATTATGTAATGGAAATTGTAACTTCAAACAAACAAACTTTAAATATTGAAAATATTCAAATTGACTAAAAAGTGTGTTAACCGTGCGGCTAATCAGTGTTATTCGTCTTCCGACGGCAAGCGTTCGTCCCCTCGATGAATCATCCTGTAAAAGGGAAGACAGCGAAATTACTTTCCCGTCGAAAATCCGAGATGATTGCAAATTGCATATAATTTAACATTGACTGCTGCTGATTTTATGTGAATTTACCAGCATTTGAAATCCCATTTAGCGTCAAATCTACGCCTAGGCCTAGGCCATCTATTGTAATTTTTATCGAGCTGAGATTCGTTTATCAGAGAGTAGTAGGTTGCGGGGTTGTGGTGGCGTTGTGTAGGAGGCCGATGATCGATTCCAAGAAGACAGCAGCTAACAATTACACACACTGAGGCTAAAATCAAGGTTGTACTGAAGATTTTAATTATAATTTTAGCAACATGTCTGGTGTAGAACTGAAAATATGCGACGGAGAAGCAAGGAATAATATTCTCATTCCAATTGGCAAAACAGTGATTGGTCGTGGGCCATTTTTAAGCGTAAGTACAGTAACACGTTTAGTCATGATGTAGGCTAGTGTAAAATAATTGTGGTTTCCCATATGGTCTAGTGGTTAGGATCCGGCGCTCTCACCGCCGTGGCCCGGGTTCAATTCCCGGTGTGGGAATTTTTTTTTCGTAATATGCTAGTATAGGGTCATGGAATTTACAATAAAAAGAATTCTCTTATACAACTTTCCGACTAATTTTCCTTTCAAGAATGATAAAATAAAGGTTGAAACTGAAAGGTTGTTTTCGATTGAGCACAGGCCCGGCTGCATAATAGGAAGCTTTCGATTTGTGCGACGACGCGACACTAGTATGGTTCACTCATGCGTGACTGTCCTACCTGGTGTCCTACGTTTTCTGGAAACGTAGATTTGGCCAAATTGCGTTTTAAAATCTACTCGACGAGGTGACCTTAACGTTCTCGCATGCGCAGATGACTTTTATTGACGTCATTACGTTCTACGTCCTACTGTCATCATGCATTCGAAAGCTCCCTATTATAGCTCAACAACAGGGGTCAACAGGGGTCAGTGAGAAGAGACAACCGTGGACCCTGGTCATTCAAGACCACAACAATATCGTTCGACTAAAATTATTGATTTGTTATTACCTAATATTTTTGTCGAAAAGCACAAATTTGGGCCATCCTAAGCCATAAAATCTGTCCCATCCCCCTGCCCATTCCAGGGATTTTATTTTGGCACCCAGATTGAGGTTCTCATGGCACCTTGGTTTGGAAGCCCCAAAATTGTGCTTTTGGACCACAATATTATGGAAAGTCAACCAAAAATTATTTTTGTTGTGGATATAATAAATAATATTATTTAAAATAATATTTTTAATCTGACCTCTCTATAGTGTCTTACAGCAGGACGGTTCATGCTTGCTCGACGGGGAGGGGGTTGAAGGGTGCAACGCTGGCACTGCACAGGTTACAGATCACTGTGCCTTACATGATCATGACCTAGCCTAAATATTTAGTCCTTATTTTTCACTACAATAATACAGGTTGGAGATAAACGAGTTTCGAGGAACCATGCTATATTGGAAGTGGATGATGGGAAGCTAAAAATTATGTCTGTAAGTAGACCTATATTTCGCATTCTAAGGTTATATTCAGACTGGGACTGTACTGCACAGAAGGTAACAAAATGCGTAGCTGTGGTGTCTTATGCTTTGTTCGACGAGGAAGGGGTTAACGCTAACACTGCTCATCTGAGCCTCCTAAATTTTGTATTGCTTATTTTTCGTATTCAGACTGGGATTGTATTTTGTATAATTCACAATTTTATTATCATTGTTAGTATGCTCAGACAAAAAGCAATGATTTGCGATGGTAAGTGGTGTATGCGATGCTATGTGCCCTTTAGTGAGGCGCTGAACAAAACAAATTTAATCAGGGAAAAGAAAAAAAACTTGCCTATTTTTTACAGATTGTTAGATTCTAATTCCACCACCCCTTTAAGCAAATCCTAGCACCAACAATAAATAAATCTTAAGTAATCATAAACATGAAGGTCCATAAAGGTCCCTACATTATGCAGTATGTAAATTTGTGTACACAGTACTGCATTATTATTATTATTATTATTGATATCATCATCATCATCATTATTAATTTTTATTATATTGTTGTTATTGTTGATATTTTGTTTCTATTTAATTTGTAGACACACACTAATCCAACATTCTTCCTGGAAGGTGCAAGTGACAACCTGACTCCCTTGCCGAAGGACACTTGGCACAATCTAGGAAATGGAGATCGGTTTTCACTGTTGCCAGATCAGCATATCTACGAAGTTGTTATTGATGACCGACCAATCAACAAAGACTCACAAGGATTTTCGTAAGTTGGAATGAATATGATTTTCATATTGAATTTATGCTAATTACTATCTGTATTCCTTCAAAACTTGATTATTGTAATTCTCTGTTATTTGTTTTTCCTCCTTTTTTATTTAATTAAATGGTTACACCAAAAATCTGTCTTCATTGTCTTACTCCTATTTTGATAAATCTACACAGGCTACCTTTTCGAAAACAAGTTTTAAGATATCAACTATTGTATTTCTGTAAAATGACCAATCTCTACATACCCATCCTTAGTTTTTGCTCACCAAGTGTATAAATTGTTCTCACTATCAGTGGTCGTATTTGAGTGGTCGTTCTTCGTTAAACCACGCCCTGAGCAGTGGTAAAATCCTACTTAAGGAAGACAACCAGTTGAATAGAAAACTGGTAAATACTCAACAAAATAAAAATGGCTGCATAGTTACCGTGATGCACGCTGCCTAATCAAGGTTGCTTTGGCTTGTGGTAGTATGGGTTTTTTGTAAAAAGAAAGTTTTCATCCAGTTTTTGAATTCTGTTAGCCTACAATTATTTTTTGACTTCATGTGGGTATTATAATTTTTATTTTCTGAAATTTAATCTAAATTATATTAACGCAAATGTTGTTGCTAAACAAGGCCATGTTTCTTTTGGTAACATGGATAATTTAATGCACTCTGGTTTACGTTAATTTTTGTTGTCAACGTAGTCTATTTTACAAACCAGTCGAATGAAAATAATACTCAGCAAAAAATCGTAGTCAACGAAATGAACCAGTCAAAAAGCCCATTCCTACATGTAAAATTAAAATATGGTCAATGCAGCTGTGTGTTTCCTGCTTCATCTTTCTTGTACAATGCGCTCTATTTCTCAAAAACTCAATGGATATTTTCTTATTTAACGTTGAATATCCACTATATCCTGTGTGGGAGCAATTGCTTGAGCTGTTGTGATTTAGGCTCAAAACTTGCTTCTTCTCAGCACTGCCAGTACACTTGCTACTACTGTAACTGCAAACTTGCAGACTTCCCCTAAATGCTGTATAAGTATTTTTTAGGTGTTTAAGAAAAATATCCATAATCATAAAATAATGTGAAGGGCAAAGAGGCCTTGTTGGTCCCTGGTTCATTTTCCATTTCTGCTCTCCTTGAGTGGGCTGAAATGCAAGTTTCAAAAGTGCACTGTCTTTTGAATTGCACATGTAAGCCGTTGGTCCTTGTGTGAAAAATGACCCATGTGCACCTTAAAGAATGCAGTACACTCTTCGAAAAAAAATTGTAGGGGATTGTCTCTCGGTGTACTGCCCAATTCATCACCAGAAGGACCCCACTGGAGGTCGCAGGACTTTAATGGGTTATCCTTGGTGTGTGTTATTTTAATTAAGTAGAATATATTCTACCATTATCCATCAAATATAAATTCACTTTATTTTTACTATTGACTGCTGAATATCCACTATAAATACTTAATGTAGACTTACAGCACCATTGACCTTTGAACAAATCTGTATACAATTAGGATTGTTACCAAACCTGTTAATTATATCTCTTCATATTAACTTTTTTTTAGGCTATCACCGACTAAGAATAAAGAGGAGGAGTTGGAAAAAGTAGAGGATGATAAAAATGAATTAGAAGAAGGGGAAAATAAAAAGAATGGAGATCCCTCAACACCACAAGAGAACAAAAGCAATGGGCAGCAAAAAGGAAATGAGAACGACACAGAAGACGATAAAGAACAAGACCAAACAGCTGAAATTAAACCGGTAAATGCATTATAGCAAAGTATGTGGAACTGCAATCATTGAAATGTAATCCTATCTCAAAAAGTACTTTCACAAACTCGGGGATGTTCTTTGAAAGAACGTAAAATGTGTTTGTATCGAATGCGAGCTCCGTCTATGGAACGCATGTTCAAGTTTCAAACTCTGTTCAATTCTAATAGGGCGCCCCCTATCTTGTGGTAGTACTTTTTTTTTTCATTTCATAGCGTGCATGCAAAATCCAGACAGTCGGACATCTTGCAATTCTATACTATTTGATCATAGGCTTTTCAGTTCATTTCAGTAGAGCATTCAATATTTTTAAGAAAACAAATAATCCTTACAATGGGCACATCCAGAATATAAAACATGGCAGAACATAAAAACATGGGTCACACATTTTTTTTTAAATTATTTTTGTGAAAACTGACAATTTCAATTCAATTTCAGGTATGACTCTTAGTTGAAAATAATGCAAATTTTTTAGACATTTTAAAAAACAAAATTCTCCTGATTCTCATCAAATAATCTCAACAAGTGGGTAGTGTTACAATTTTGAGATGCGATTAATAATTTAAATTGTAAATTATGTCTTTTGAAATAATAGATGTGGGATCCAAACTACTTGTGTAATAGGATTGTGTTATTCAAAAAATGTTTTAGCTTTGTATAATGTTACATATCATGAACTATGTATATTAAAGAATGTTTCCCTGTTGCATAATTTCTTTAGAAATTACCTTTTTTAACTATAAGGTATTTCCCATCTACTGTACTGTGGTTGATTAATTATATGCAAATTCGTTGTAGTGGATCATAGATAAAAAATTGTGATGTTGAATAAAACAATTAAATGTACCTAATTAATTTTCATGTTTATATTTTATTTAAGGATGATGAAAATGTTGTTGTTTTGCCAAGTGGTAAGCCTGTTGCACTGCCTTTGAATAAGCCTAGGAACTTGCCAGCATGGATGCTTGGGTCAGATACAACACCAACAACTAAAGACAGTCCAAAAGGTAGAGGTTTTTTGACATTCACATTTACACAATGTAGCAAGGGACATGCACGCTAATTTTTTCCTAGAAAGGACATGTGTAGCATTTTTTTACAAGAAAAATTTTACATAGGATGCATGCTAGAGAAAATATAGTGGGCATTCCCTCTTGGGTGGTGCCAAGATTTGCCCGACACGGGGATGAGATTCCCAATGGGGGGGGGTCGATGTCCCATTTGAGAGGAAAAAAAGTGGGTGTGATCGGGCATCGGCACTCAAAATCTTTCGAAAGTGGTCCAGGGGACAAATGCTATGAAAAATATGTCAATTTAGTGGTTTTCATAGGCTGATTTAATCAAAATCGAAATTTCATGTTTTCATGCTAAATGTTGAAGATGATATATCATAAACAATTAGTTTCCTTAACTAAGAAAAATAGAAGTTTCATATAAAATGTGCTGACTTTTATCGAAGTTTGATTTGTTCATGTGAAGACAACTGTGTACCATTTATCAAGAGTCATGTGTAACTTTTTTGTATTGTTGCATTGAGTATTATAATAATGGGCTGAACGTTTTCACTGAAATTATAGATCTCCAAAATGTTTTCTTCCACCTCAGGCAGAGGTAGAGGAAGGGGAAAGAAATCCAACAACTCAGATGAAGTGGCAGATGCAACACCTACAAAACCCAAACCAAAAGGGAGGGGGCGTGGCAGAGGTAAGAAAACTGATGCCACTACAAAACCAACTCCAAGAAAAGTACCAAAACGTGAAGTAGAATACCTTGATGATTGGATGGGCAGTGAAGATGAGGATGATGATGACGATGAAGGCAGTGATTGGGAAGAGGAAAATAAAAAGGAACAGGTATTCCATTAATGCACTTTTTCTTGGTCTATTTATAAATCAGTTTGTAAATAGCACCCTCAGCTTGCCTGTGTACAATAATAACATATGTGTATATTAAGGAACACAGTAAACTATTCAGAAAAGTGCGAGGCATTGTCTTCCAATGTACTGCCCAATTCAGCGCAAAAAAGACCCACTGGAAGTAAGTCTTCAACACTGAAGGAATCTAAATGCATCCAAATTATAGCATAGTTGAAATATCCACTGGAACACAAAGTGTAAATTCATTTGTATATTTATTTGAGAGCAGCCTAGTGCAGAAGCTTGGATTAGATAGATTATATTTAATCAGTGTGAACACCAAGGCTATTCCACACAATTCCAAAAACTTATTTCCAGTGGGGTCCTTCTGGTGGTGATATGGCTGTAACCCAAGAAACAATCACCTACTTTTTTCCAAAGAGTGTACTACATTCTCAAACGTGTACGTGGGCCACATTGCACACAAGACCAACAGCTTCAATTTTTCCGAAGACAGTGCGCTTTTTCATACTTGCACTTCAGCCCTCCTGCTAATGACATTGAACTTGGTACCAAAGGTTAACAATGGATCACCACGGTTCGGTGCACACACAGTGAGCTATGTTAATGGCAACCAGTATGTGTGTAATAAACCATAATGATCTCTGTTTCTGGTTCTATTCCATCAAGTTGCTCTCCCTGTAAAACAAACAATTTGATTTACTTGTTTACTTACTTAAACTTGAACTCAAAATGTTTATCTTAACTCCAGGAGTGCTGTATGTTTTTTTTCCCAATAACAGGCTTTTAATTTCGTATTCAATGAGTGACTCTACCTTTTAAAGATTACGTACTCAAGTATCTGAACGTAGTAATAAATTGAGTTTCAATTTTCTAATACAACCAGGCCAGTTTGCCTCAACATGCATCCCATATGGGTGTGATATGACATCATCAACATAAAATTTGTTACAGACAGAGCTTTATTGTACAGTATTTGTTAAATTATTCTGCACAAAATGTGTAATTTTAATCTTATTCATTCCTATGCCCATTAATAAAAATGATTTTGGTTAAATGATTTAGGCAAAACGAAGAGGAAGCCAATCAAGGTTCCCGAGGTCTCCAACGAAGAAATCACCGCGAAAACGCAGCAAGAGGACAAGTTCAGATGAAGAAATTGATGATTTAATGGACGAGGAAGTTTACATTCCTAGACCAACAAAACGAGGGAGGAATGCCTCAAGAAGTAGTTATAGTCAAAGTGTTGACGAAGACGATGAAGAAGTAGCTGTAAAGCCTAAAAAGGATGTGAAGAGGGGGAGTGCAAAGGAGGAGAGTCAGGAAACACAGCGAACCCCTTGCACTTATGGAAAGACCTGTTATCGGTATGACTTCATATTGAAGAGCGGCACTTACAGCCTTATCATAATTGCCATTTAAGCAGTGGTGGCGCCAGCGGGGGTAGGGGGTATTTTTCCCCGTCAAACAGGTCTTTTCCCCTATCGTCTAATGCCACAATGAGGTGGTCGGATCAAAAATTAAAAAAATAATACTTTGGCTATTTTGATGTTATTTTAATTGTCAATCCCTAATATTGTGGCCTAAAATCACAATTTGGGCCATACTAAGCCATAAAAACTTTACCCTGAACCCTACTTTTTTTTATTCCTGAACCCCAACCAGGGCTCTAGTCGGCCCCTTTTTTGGACCCCTCTGTCAGACATGTCAGACTTCTTGACAATGCCTGGTAGGCAAATTTCTGGAGCCACTCCTGCATTTAAGTTTGTATTGCTCTACCATTTACACAGTACAAACCTTTTAAAGCCAGGCTCTGGAGGAAAACAAAATTCAATTTAATTTCTTTATTCATTCATTATTTTACAGACAAAATGTTTACATGTTGTATAAATGAATTTCTCAAGATTTTCTTAAAACACTGCTTCAGTATGTGCTAGATCATTTATTTGTAAACATATATAGCATTTTTTTTTCACTTTGATACTTCTCTTAGGAGGTCATATTGAGGACTAAAAAGTTTTTGGTATGTAGTCATAAAACTTTAAAACAATGATATATGTTTTTCTATTAATTTAATGTAATTGCCCTGAAATAAAATTTTCAGAGTGTATATTTTACCAGCTAAAACTCAAATTTGGCTATCCTTAAGGTTAGGGTTGGAGTGCACTTTTAATAGCCACCACAAAAATAGGCATACTACTGGCAAATTAGAAACAATAATTTTCAGTGCAAATGAAATAAATTTATGATGTAAATTCAACATTAATGTGATTAAACAAACAGGACTTTTTATATTATTTCATTATTTAAGTGTTATTATATAGTAGTATCTTTTTAGAGGCTATGATAAAAAGATTTATACCAGCTGATATAATAAATATTTCCAAACTAAAATGAATCATTGAATATTTTAAGCAATCTCATTTAATTCATTTTCTAAATAAAATATTGTAATTGTATTCTAGAAAGAACAAGAAGCATCTTGAGGAATTTAGTCACTATGGCGATGATGACTATCCAAAGGAAGAGGCAGATGATAATGAAGATGGAGAAGAGAAAGAGGATGAGAAGGATCTCCCAGAATGCCCATATGGTTCTGAATGTTACAGGTTAGCATCTTATGAAAAACCCCAATGACTGAACTATAGGTTTGGTAGTATGTGCATTGTTTCCTCTTTCTATTGTGATGGTTTTTTTGTTTGTAACTGTACCACTTTGGAAACCAGTACACAAGTACTGAAAGTGCCTACAGGTTTAAGAAAGAATAAATAGTGTTAATAATAATCATTTCATTTAATGACCCCTCTTCTGATCAGCTTCCCATTATTGCATCTCATTTAGAATCTTGGTCCCTTAGTAATGGCTTAACCTTCGCTCCAAACAAATGCAAAATTCTTAATGTCGACTTCCATAGAACCCCTACTGTTTTCCCCCCTCTTACTCTTCATGGTACAGTAGTCGAACAGGTCCACAAGACCAAAAAGAAAAGCTTCAGAAATAGGTAAGAAAACATTATATTTTGTCTTTCTTTTTGTATTGTTATTATTATAACAAAAGATACAACATTATTATTGAGTAATATGTTTAAAAATAGTGATCCACATGATGCTTACACCAGGCATAATGTTCTTTTTACTTCAAAACTAGCTCAGAAGTAACTTAAATTGCATCATGTGGATCACTATTTTTTTTAAACATATTACCTTACCTTAAGAGGATAGGTAAGGTAAGGTAACATGATGCTTACACCAGGCATAATGTTCTTTTTACTTCAAAACTAGCTCAGAAGTAACTTAAATTGCATCATGTGGATCACTATTTTTTTTAAACATATTACCTTACCTTAAGAGGATAGGTAAGGTAAGGTAATATGTTTAAAAATAGTGATCCACATGATGCTTACACCAGGCATAATGTTCTTTTTACTTCAAAACTAGCTCAGAAGTAACTTAAATTGGTATTTTGCAAAATGTCTATCTGGTGGAAACTTTGCAAATGATTTATGTAAATATGATATTGAGTTACTAAGTACCAGGGGTGGATCAAGAGATGTCCAAAAGTGGGGGCCGAAATTTGGGCCGATCGAGACAAGAATGTCCTAGGGGGTCCGGGGGCATGAAATTTTTGTGTTCTAGACGCCGGAAAATAACATTTGAGGCGTTGTGGGCTATCGTTTTTTTCTTTTTTTCTTTTTTTACCTCCCAAAAGGGGGGGCCGGGGCCGGGCCGGCCCCCCCCCCTAAACCCGCCCCTGAGTACTATGTCTCAAATTGTACTTAATTTATTCAGTATTTGTTGTTCTTTTCTTGAAGCTAAGAAAAATGTGAATGCTTGTGAAGAGGAGGATGAGGACGATGGTCCCAACACATATGACAGAAATGATAGCTTCATTGCGGATTCAGAGCAGTCCCCTTACGAACCGGCATCAGAGGAGTCGGACTACAACCCTGAAGATGATAGCGAAGACGTGAGAACATTAACAAAAGAAGCAAGAAGTTTTATTAAAAATAAGAAAATGCACAAAAAGGTGCATTAGATTGTGAATTGAAATATGAAAATAAAAAACAAATCTGAATTATGTAAAAGAAAATTAAAATAAAAAAAATTATGTACAGAGTTCTTCAGAACATAAGAAATACTGTAGTGTCTCACTTTGTGAGAAGGTGCCTGACAGATTGAAATAGACAATTGGATGAGTGTTAATACTTAATTATTACTTGCTGTCATATAATTATCTTAGTAAGGTGTGCTAATAATGGCTTTGGCACCTAAATACACTAGACAAGGGGCTTATGCTATGCCAGCTATATTTAGGGCTTGAATGTACAGTTTCATTATTCTTTGTCCTCTGATGATGTTTGTATCTGGTTAAAAGATACTGTATTACGTTTTTCATTAACTTTGTCAATGTTTTTGTAATTTTGAAGAATAGGTTGTTTCTCATTATAAGCAGGTGACTTGATAGAGAAGGTAAATATACACTTGATTTTTATTGTAAAAATGTCCTGAAATCATCATATCCACAATTTGACAGGGAGGACTAAATATTCTTTAAAATATCTAGAATTACAAGACACACAGTAGGACACCTTTAGGACCAAAAAAAGTGTCCTAAATGGGGTTCTATTGTATTTCCTACGCACACAGTTAACTACCTTGTTTTGCTGAGGCTCATAAAATTACTGTTGTAAGTTATCGTATAAAAAGGCAGTAATTCAATGTGATATATGTATCTATGTTATGTCTGGGTAGCCAAGTGATGTGAAAAAATGCTGGTCTTTACATAATTTTAAAGATCTCAGAAATCTATATTTTGTTATGGATGTTTGTGTAATTCTAGAAGCTAACTCATTTACTTCAGTCAGTGTGTAGGATTGTTGTCAATGTATCTTGGATAATTTCCAATGTAAAAAGAATCTTATTCAACATAAATTTAGCACTTAGGCCTATAAAATGCCATGGCATGAAATATACAAAGCCTATAAAAATGCCCCATTATGATTAAAATCTGGGTTGTAGGGTTTGGAGGCATGGCATCTTATCCACCTAGCTACTACAGCTGCACATACTGTAATGATTGATCACTTTACACTCTGCTTATTGAGAACCATGCTTTGATCACTTCCTGTAGCAACATACTGCACTTGCCATGTCATGCAATTTGTACCTACTAAGCCAGGAACTCACTACACCTACGGTCTTCGGAGGGCGTGATTCTGTGTAGAACGCAATGCGACGATGGGTGCACAACTGATCGTTTTTTGTGATAATCAGCTCAGACTACCATAGAAAATCAGCAGAGGATGTCGCGCAATCTTGCGCTTACAAGGAGAGAGTTAGATTTGTTACGATACAAGGCAGCGAGTGCCCAGCTTAAGGCTTGATGCAAGCAATGGCCAATGGCGTATGTAGGAGTTTTGAAATAAGGGGGGCTGATGGGGGGGCACGATGGTGAAGTGGGGGTTTTCGGTTATTAAGTGAGGGTGCACTAGCTTGCAAAATAAGGTGATTTTTAACAACTTGAGCGCGATTTATTTGCTCTCAATGGGGGACTTCGGGGAACTCATTTTTTTGGGGGTGTTTGTGCACCTACCCACAGATATGCCACTAGATGCAAGACCTGATACATACTTTGTCCTGTTTTGGATTCAGGTAATCAATCTTAAGAGGTATATTGTATAACAAACATTTTTTTGTTGTATCTTTAGTTAAGCTTGTTTTAAATGCATTTAATATAATCTCTTACATTTTTATACCAGTTTCCATTGAATTGATGTTTGGCTTCAATTGCATTAGTTAAGACTTAAATGAATGATTCAAGTCTAAGGCTGGCACTTGTATTCTTGTATGACGCACTTTATCTCTGCCACCCTGGTGTACATTGTATAGAACACATGGTAACTGCAAATGTACTGATTAGTAGCTGAAACTTTGACTTGCAGCAGTGTGTTCCATAGGTGTTTGATTAATAGGGAGCCTTTGATTTGCGAATGACGTACAACGTAATGACATCATGTTAATTTAACTGCGCATGTCTCAACGGTGTGCGTTACATTCTCTCTTGAAATCTGGAATGTTTGTCGGCCGAATCAAAGTTTAGGCCAGAATGAGGACTGTACTGTATGGTCCGTTAGTCTTTGCGTTTCTGACATATCTGCGTACACATCTTTAAAAATTTGAAATTGATTTAAATTTGAAAGCTGCCTATTGCTGGTGAAACACAAAGAAGCTTTGTGTTATGTGCCATATTGTTTTTAAAGTTAATGATGAGGAATAATTGCATAATAGTAAGTATACATTAAACTTTCATGATACAGTAGTGGAATCAATAATTTTACTTTTATAATTTTGCTACAGTGCAGTATTATTTTCTCATTATTTTCTCTGAGATTTTTAGATTATTCAATTGTACAATGTAGTTAAATGTATGTGTTATTAGCTTTTTGCATATAATTAAAAAAAATGGAACTGATATGTCTTGTTGAAAACAAAACATTGTAAAAAACTGCATTTGAATTATGTTGTGAAAATGGATTTTTGTCAGTAGACAAATAAAAATCTTAAAAAGAATATGATTGACATGATTTTATGTATCGTAAAGCTTCTCATAGAAACCCAGTACTCTATTACTGATCCATGCCCTAATAGCAACCTACCCTAAAAGGTCAACCTACTACTCTAATAGTAACCAAGTGGGGTCACGACTGCAATGCCAACAGAAGTATAAGCCTATAAATGACAGTGAATCATCATTTTTCTTTAGATGTGGGTTTTATTTTTTCTCACAATATCTATGTAAAACTTTGGAGCTAAAATTAGTTTATATTTACAAAAACTACCATAAATTTGATATTTTATTGTACTGTAATTTAGTTAATTGAATTGAACGCCAATTTACATATCACATGCTAATTTGCTTATAACCCTCGCCGCAATCTACAGTCATCAAACAAGCATTTATTAAATATTCCAAGGACACATTCTTCTCACGGTGACTGAAATTTCATTTCATCTGCACCAAACCTATGGAACAATCTGCCTCTTAACAGTCGATCAGCTGAAACATTGCATAAACCTAAAACTGAACTAAAAACACATCTTTAATTGTGCTTTTCAATAGTGGAATTTTGGAGTACAGGGAACTAGATTTTGGTGCTATAAAAATATTGGATTGCACGCATTATACTTCAACAACTTTTCAATCAATTGTTTTCGAAATTTCATTTGAGGACATTTCTCTATCAAACGATGACTAGAAAATCCCTTACTATACAATTCAATGTGTATGTTTTAAGTTGTATACCCAGCAATCTTCCTACAGTTATCATTCAATTAAGCCTACAGAATTTGTCGATATTCAGTCATTTATGCTGCTGTTTTTTTAACGGATCATTTTTAATGACGACGAGCTCAGACTGTCACCGACAATCAACAGATAGCATCAGGCCATCTAGCGCTTACAGGGAGCGGAGTTTTGATTCGTTGTACGACAGTCATATGACCCTTGTATGACACAGTGGATGCCCGGCTCAACAACATTGTGTTCAGCAAGAAATATTCAATGCCAACTTTTATATCCTGTCATTCTGTCCATCTATGTTTACAGTCGGGTGCAGTACAAACGTAATAAAGACGCATTCCTTCCTGAAAGTGAAACACAAATTAAATTAGATATCTCCGAAGCAATTATATTTTATAACAAACCATAAGTGTACAATTTTATCTGTTTATTTATTCAGCATTACACAGCAGATATGACAACAAGCGTAATTGTAAACCAAAAATAATGTGCGTCTTGCTGTCCAGCCACTTGCATATGCTTCAGAATGACTTCATATGCTTAGTAATGGTATATAATGTAGTTAGATTTATGTAGTGCTTTATACCAAAGTCTCAAAATGCTTGCGGTGTGGACTAGCTCGTACAATAGCTTGCTTTACCCCAAGGGTCTGTTCATGTCTGAGCTACCCGGTAAACTGGTACCAGCTACTCGCGTCTGTCCACAGCAGGAGCTGTATGACCCATACACCGAGGCAACCCTCTACTTGTCTCGAAAGATGTACTGGATTCATCAAAGTGCAAATGAGCCAAATTGTATAAACTGGGCCTATGGCTTATTGTCTTTATCCGATAAGACTTGTTCCGATAGACAAGCGTGCCTTTTGAACCAGGGTCTCTATTATGGTTGTACGTTGTGGCACCCCTGCCTTAACTGCTTGGCCATTTGACTCACCAATATGGTGGTAGTAATATACTTCAGTGGTAATGGGAGTTCAGTTCAAACGCATAGTTATCCAAAATGTAGAAAAATGCAAAAGTTAACTACAGCACTCTAATGTTTTTTTAGATATTTCACATAAAACTTTTGATCACTGTGTTATTCCAGCTTTAGCCTTCTTAGCAATGCGTAATTCATAGATTTTGCTATCAACAGTAACTACCCGCCTAAACGATGAATCACAAAGAGTTTCTTGTTTCTTATGCTATAGAATCATCAGGACAGAACATAGAGGGAGGTATGCAGGGAAAAAATTGCAAATTTGATATTAGTGATAATAAGCCAATTCGTAGTCAGAACTTTGCATTTCCGTATCCGAGGTCAATCAACATAAACCTTTGTTGAGTGTATGGTGTTTATGTCCTTGATAAGAGCATGTGTTCTAACTATGAGTTGGCTTACATGTTGGAGCCAGCATTTTGAGCTAAGTAGGTTCTTAAAAAGATCGTAAAACTTAAAAAGCAGGGACAGATTTGAAAGAAGAAAAAAAAGAATGAAAGAAAAAGAAAAAATGAGGTTATTTTCGGGCGTCTAGAACACAAACATTTTGCGGGGCATCCCCCGGACCTCCTAGGATAGTGTTATCTCAACTAGTCCCACTTTCGGTCCCCCCTTCGGACACCCCTGGATCCGCCCGGAAAAGTTCCACAGTATGAACGATACAGCGTCTGCTCAAGGACTGCAACTGTTTTCTTGTGCATTTACACAAAATCATGCCCCAAGCATGTGAAAATTGGGGGAGTGGGTGCCAAAGTATAATTTGAGTCTTTAACTTACCTCTCCTCTAGTTGTTTGAGACTGAAAGAACACTGCCTGTCTGTGACCACATTGTGGACAAGGATGGTCTTCTGTCCTTGGCAATGTTGGGTCATCTTTCACCTCTGCTACAATTTGTGTTAATTCACTGTGAAAATACAAGTTTAAAATTGAATACTGTAGTATCAAAATACAAAAAATTGTAGCTGCCATCTTGACATGGGATTATGCTGAAATTAATCCACATAATTATATAACACTTGTTTCAACTTACTCAATTTCATGTGTTATCTTGTTAACATAGACACAAGAGTTATCTGATTCCTGTTGGTAGTCGCAATTCCTACACTGTAAAAGAAAAGGAACAGATGACGAAAATGCAGTCCTTTGTTTATGTCTACAGTATTTAGGAAGTGTAATAATTGTTAATCTTGTCTTATTTTCACATGTTTATGTATCAAGTAGAAACAAATTAATGAATAAATGTATACAAAATGTCTGTTTCAAAATTCTGCTGAATACTTACTGCGTAGAGAAGAATTCTGTGTTCTTTATCTTCTTTTGGATACAACATATTATTACTGCAATATGTAAAAAAGGAAAAGTTTAAAAAAAAAAAATATTTTATTTTCAATTTTGTTACATTACTGTAATTACTTTCAATTACATAGAAGTATATGGTAGCCAAGTGAAATGTCAATCACAGAGTTAAATTTGGATATTGTACAACATAATATACTGCAAAAAACAAAACAAGTTGTTGATAAATCTATTTTATTTTCAATTTCATTACACTAATTACTTTTCAATTACATATAAGGTAGTAAAGTAAAATGTCAACGAGTGAGTTAAAGTCCATTCCAGGAAACTGATTATTATTAAAGTCAGGCTCCGAAGGGAAAAAATTTTTGATATGTTGTAGAACTGATTTTTCTAAGACAGAAAAAAGTAGTTTGATCAAAAACTGAGCAACGGTGAATGAGATACAGATTTTTGAATATTTAAAAACTGGGGGAATAAGGTGTAAAAATGGGCATATCCTATTAATTTGATTGGCTGAAATCAGGTCACGTGAGATTGATTTAAAATGACTAATCCATAGTTATTTGAGTACTAGTCAACGATCGTTGAATATTACTTCATCTCCACAGACGATAGAAATCTCAAATGCAACCTGAGCGAGAAAGATGAATTAGCCTAGCCTAGGCATGGACCTATTAATAAGACCTTATTAATAGGTCCATGGCCTAGGCAACCACCGCGCGTTTGGTACTGAGCCATTTGTACTTTTGAGAGAAGAAGGTTTGGAGTAATTAACTAAATGATAGTGATGTCGAATCAACAAAAAGGCTATAAAATATGCAGTTAACCGTATGGAGTATTTCACCAGATTCAGCGGTGAGGATGAGTCTATTATTAGCTGAATTTGACCAGTTTTATGCTAGCCTTCGAAAGGAAGATGGGTCCTTGTATTTGAAGAGAACATGCAGGCGATCTGGTGAGAAACAGCTAGGTGTTCTATAAAACAAATAATGAATGTTTCCCATTCGTACAATGGGGTAGAATATTTCATGAGATGAAAGACTGGATGTTCTATTCAACTCTGCTACACCGCGTTAAATAGACCGTCCAATCTTTCACCTCATGAAATATTCTACCCCATTGGCAATAATAAATGTTTATGAGTGCAATGCCATTGCACTCGTAAACATTTATTATTTGTATACTACATGTATTGCCCGCCCAATATCTAACTAGCGCACCTCCAAAAAAAAACTCTAATATATAAGACCTCTTGTAGTTGTAGTATCAAAATCAGTGGAACATCCAAAAGCAAATGAAAAAAAAAGATGTGTACTGTCGGCAAATGTGAGGTTTGCTCTTAAAATTAGGATGCATAAGAATATTGCAAAAAATATGACATCCAAAATTTGTTTGCGCATATATTTGTTACCCAAATTGCTGCCATATGATTATGATGAGGCCCACCTGCAGCAGTAGTAGTCTAAGTAGTAGGACCTCCCTGGACCTGGTAGCCTACAGTAGGTAGGCCTAGACTAGTAGTAGGCCTAGGCCTTGGCCTAGCCTAGTAGTACTGTAGTACAAGTAGTAGTAGTTAGTAGGTACGGCTAGGGCCTAGGTCTTGGCCAACTTGGCCTAGACCAACCTTTAAACTTTGTTCTGCTTGTCCCCACCCTCTACTAGGCCTATAAGCTAGATGTCTCGCTTCGAAAAGCAATTTCCAGCTTTCTAGGGCTAGGCCTACACCGACGTGTCCCACTTTTGTCATTCGGGCCCTTGGTTTGGTGTCTTCCAGCAAAAACAAACAAACAGCGCGGCCTCCATGCCTAGCCTGGGCCTAGGATTTTTGTTAAGTTAAATATAAACCAGGTAACAAACTAACCATTCCTGACAAAATTTAATACCAACAAAACCTGGGCCACCGCTCTTCTTATTTTCTTGAAAGTCAGAGCTAAAGATATCCATATTTACTCTTTCACAATTTATCCCGCAATTTACAACACTTCTTTATTACACTCTCAGTGAGAATTCTTTGCTGGGGGAAGACCGCCAGAGCCGTAGAGAAGACCGCTGCAATATAGCGCCACCAAGGACGATAACACTACTTTAATATCTTTACCCGATCTTTGCATTCTTTTTATTTCTTATACTTTCCTGCCTTCATTTCAATATTAATTGTTAATTGCCTTAGCCGGATTGTTTCTATATCTACTTTGATCTACCTTGATACAGTGTAGTACTGTATATCTTTCATTTTTAAAATACGTGGGGTAAACTTCTTTGTATTTTTTTATTTTTATGAACCTAAGATGTCACTGATTAAAGAATCGTCTACGTTCGATAGCATCGATATCTTTTAAACATTTCAACAAATATAAATTACTGCAGACCTTCTCCTCCTAAATTCTACATTACTTCATTTTTTTTTTTATAGTTTTATTCAACTTTAGGCACCGTTTATGACCAATTTGGCAAATAGGGAACTTAATAACTTTAAAGTGTTAATCGATTCACAAGGCAGACATTGAGACTTTAGGGAGTGGCGTTGTTTTAGTCGTGAGAAAAATTCCTGATAACGTGACAGAAATTGAATCAACCCTTTTTCTTCACGGGTTCATAGGCTTAGCAACTCTGTGGAGCCTTGTCGATCTAATAACTCGACATGAAGATTATCGTGTATGTGGTGAAAGGATTGGTAATCGGGGGCCGCGACGTAAACGCTCCTCCTTTCGCGTGACCCCGAATCAATCCTGTGATTGAAAGACACGGGCATCTTAACTATTTGTTATGAATCTATAATTTTACGTTGATATCTGATTCAAATTCTAAATTTTAGAGGTGTTTTCCGGATTCACTATGTTGACTATGTCTTCGTTGTCTATACGTTCCTAATCTAGTAAATAAAAATTTTATATAATGATAGATAAAATAAAAATAAATCACAATTTTTTTCTTCATATAGGTCCATGCCTCGCCTTCGTGATCTGCAACTGTCATACATTAAAAAATGCTATTTTATCTCTTATTGTGGTAAACAAATGTCGTCGAACAAAAAACACTATTCTATATGGGAATGACACAACATAGATCAGCTATCAAAATCTCCAAGCTTGATCAACTGAGAGCCGATCATTTAATTCAGCTGCTACTCAATTCCAAATATCAGTTTGCCATAGATCATAATGCCACTTGATTGGCGCAAGGATAATTAAAACCTCCGGGAACTTTTACTTAGAACCACCACACCTTTCACGAACGTCGGAGAACGTCCTTCCACATGTACATTTTATACACATCTAGATGTGTATAAGAGACAGGTAAAGAGCACTTTTACTTTTTAATACCGGTACTTGTTTAAATGTAATGCTTTCCTTCTTTGAGTACAAATACTCTAGTATAATGTAAAGAAATAAACTATATACACATTAAGAGTTAAAATATATATATACGAGTAAAATATACATAAACAAAAATAAAATGAACAGTGTGAAGATAATACCAACGTAACAGAAGCATCCCATGTATGCTTAGTTACTATACTAAATATTTTTTATAATTTATTTTACTTAAAATATTCTGATTTTCGATAAGAGCTGCCTACGGTTCAGCTTTATGAATCAGTAAATCCTGAGTAGCCATTATCAACGCTTGATAAAGTGAACATTCTGAGAAAGTATCTGAGACGGTCACTCACGGTTACAATTACTTGAATTGTACTCTGCCAGCAGGAAGTTTTCTTGTGGGCAACAGTGTCACAAATAATCTGTGTTGAGAATATAAACCTTAAAAATATAATTTAATGTTTGATTTGAAGTGAAAACTATATAGAAATAGAATGTTTTCTCCCAGGTACTTTCAGACATCATAAATACTACCGTATTTGTTTATCAATTGCACTTAAAAAAGAGACACGTTTTAAATTGATAAGCAATTTCATAGTAATATCTGTAAATTAACGAATGCTAAAGTGTGTCTCATTGGAAGACGATGATATTCTTGAAGCTTTTAAATGAACAATTCAATGTTTTTAAATTATGAGAGCTTTTTTCGGGATTTAAATACATTAAAACATAACTGCCTGATTACAGTTTAGTATATAAAAATAAAAAACCCCCGAGTATGATACGCCCTCTTCCCAGTTGCATCATGGGATGGTACTTTACTCCATCTTGCTTCCTTAATTTCTGTATGTACGCAGTTTGAGAGAGTAGGCCTGTGGAATTTAAATACATTATTGCAATATTCTGGCACAGATATGTATCTTGACACTTAAATGTTAGATTTTCTGGTGTTGTCTAAACCTATTGAATCGTTTTCATAGAGTTGTATGGTGATCACATTCCTATATTATATAAATCTTTTGATCTCGCTACGATACGAAGAACCTGCCAGGCTCCACTCATCTGGGTGGTGGTGGTGGTGTGCACAGAGATAGGAAGGGCTGAGTCTTTGGCTTGCGGTGTTTCATTTTTGCGATACATAATATAGGCTAGGCCTATGGGCTCAACATTCAATCAGAAGATATTAAAGAAAATATATAAAGTGATATTGCATAGGCTAAACCAATTTGGGTAGGCCTATTATCATGTAAACTTCGGAGATACCCTTGTTCCGAACAATCCTAGACGTAGGGTAGACAGAGAGGCTAACTTGATTCGGAAAACAAGTTGTATTCTATTCTTTATTCCTCCCCAGCCCAACCAAGAGGCTGCCAACCAGGCATTTGCAGTAAAAATTGAATTGAAAGACATTTTGTATAGTTATAATATATGGTGAAGTGTTCATAAGGGAAAGTTATAATTACAGTGCAAAAGGTAATTGTTGGTGCATAATTACAATTTTTGCTAATAAATACATACTGAAATTGAAAGGTTGGATCACTGTCAAATGTGTTGGAGGCTAGGCCTACAGCCTGCAGTTGAAGAACTTAATGAACTCGAAAAAATGATGGTTGTCTAAGGAAGAATACCTTGCAATTTTGAGCATTGCATTGTTCTAGGATTATACACGACATGTCATAATGGCCTCCGCAGCTGAGCCTGAAAGTGAAAATCATACACAGGCTCCAAGCAAATGGAACGGACAATTTCTGGAAGGCCTGAAAAAGGTGAGTAATATTTTTCACTCTATAAAAGTTTATTCCATATTGGTATGGTAGTTTATCGACAATAGATAAATTATTATTGTTGCCATTATTATTATAACCTAGGCCCTATGCTGCATTCATAATCATCAATTCAAATGTTAATTATTGAGTGTGCATTTTGTATTGCTTACATGCACTGGTAAACTTCAGAATATGCAACTATCTGTGCCACCCCAAGACTGTAAAATAAGGCCTACACAGGGTATAACTATATATCCTCTGTGCAAAAATTAGGCCTAGAAGAAATCTGTATGCGCATAATAAGGGCCATTGTCCAATTTTTTCCCGATAAATAGGTTGTGGCCTATCTCTCAATATGTAGAATGATTCTGCACACCTATTTTCCCAGCAATTTTATACGCAGATATTGAGCTACTTTTTGATTTATCCCCCACGCCATTAAAACTAGTAGGCCTATAAAACGTACAGTACAGTACAACACATCACATTCTGTTTAGTATGACAACGGCCTAAGTGTACAGTACCTTTTCACTTGGCAATGGTAGAATGTGGCATTTATTGGGCATGCATGACTTTGCCGCACAGCAGTACAACATACTTTGCAGAGAGTGAACGTTTAGAAATACTGTATGAATTTGATTTTTCAAATGCTTTGGCTTCTGAACTGAAAGGCAAACTACAAAAAATATTGAATGGTTACAATCATAGGCTTTCAAATTTCTTGCACATATGTAGTGTATAGTGACGGGGCATAAGCTCTCATATTTCCCTCTCCTGGCAGAAGTACAGGGGCAGGGCATAAAGCTCTCCTATTTCCCTGTCCTGGTACAAATAGAGGGGTGGGGCATAAGTTCTATTTTCCTGACCTGGCAGAAGTAGAGGGCGGGGCATAAGCTTTCCTATTTCCTTGTCCTGGCAGAAATAGAGGGGCGGGGCATAAGTTCTCCTATTTCCCTGTCTTAGCGAAAGCACGAGTGATTCCATTCTAGTGTCGCGTCGTTGTGGAAATCGAATGCGCCCTATTATTGGGCACATCACAGAATGGTAATTATGTTGCTTGGTGCATTTACCATGCCACACAATGTAAACATAAAATCATTCATACTATGACTGATTTTATGAATCATAGGGAAGCTTAAAAATCATTTTGGATTGAAGATCAATTGAATACAGACCAATTTGGCATCCATCAAATCTGTGACTTTGCGTTACATCATTTTAGGTGGTGTTGACAGTTTTTACTATTATTACCCTTCATCCCCACATGTCATGCACATTTCTGTAACCGCTGGATATCCCTGTATAGTGTGGAATTATTAATGAAGATTGTCGATAAACTATACTAGTGAAACAAGCTCATTTCACTTTTTTTTTAAAGCTATTAAAACACGATGATTCAATTTAAGGAAAATTGTCGATAAACTACACTAAAGCATACTAGTGAAACAAGCTCATTTCAATTTTTTTTTTAAAGCTATTAAAACATGATGATTCAAAAATATATTTGATGATTAAAATACATACTACTATATGGTATTGTAGCCAAATTATAATTAAACACCTACAGTATTAACGAACGTCAAACCTCCGTGGTTCAGTTTCTTGAGCTGTACAAAAATACATGCAAACCAATTTAGGGATTCCCCAACTGCGTTGATTTGCTGTGGATTCGATCATGTGTTGTTCAATACTGTAATGGCTTTTAAAAGAGTAGAAATTCCTTTGTTTTTGCAAATATTTGGTCAAGCTATTAATGTATTTTAACATTTAACATACTAGTTTGGGAAGATTTGATTTTTGTTTACGGCTACTTCATGGTGGTATGTTAAAAAGTTTATCGTGCTAACAAAAGGGCTTCGTTTAATCAGTTCCGTGGTGAGCTTCGAGCATGCGGCAAACACTCGGCATTGCCAAATGCTGACGCTGATTTCCAGGGCTATGAATTGATGCTTTAAAAGTAATTGAGAAATTTTTTAGACTTCATTGACACGTCTGATTTGTTTGAGTTTAAACGCAGATGCAGTAGGATCTGCGTCATGGACAGTAGCACTTCAATCAAAAATCAATCAATCAATTTAAAGTCCGTAATTAATCCATGCTAGCATGGGTTGGACTGTTCACCATGATAGCTTTCATCCAGTCATTTCTATTCTGTGCAGTTGCACGGCTTATCCTTAGCTTATGGAGATCACTAGCCACAACTTGCTCCCAAGTCTTCCTAGGCATTCCTCTCCCTTTGGACCCCTCAATTTCCATCACCCTGCACTTCTTGACCTAGTTGTCGTCATTCATTCTTTCAACATGCCCATACCATCTCAGGCGGCTGTGTTGTATAGCATCGCTTATAGAATTACAGTTAGCCTTGTAGAATATTGAAACATGTTTAATATTCTCATGACGTCCTAAAGACTGTCCCTGACGATAAATCGTGCCGGCCTCAGTTGTATGGTGCATACTGTACATAACCTCATTTAAGCCGTTTCATGAAGATCAGAGTGCTCAAAGTGTAGACTACAGTGGCTCATTCAGTAACTTCTTCCCTGATGGTAAGGGTCCCTTTGTGTCTGAGCTTGCTGGTAAGCCAGTAGCAGCTTCTCCTGTCTGTCCACAACAGGGGCTGTATGGACCGGTACACTGGGATAACCCCGTACTCATTTCGAAAGATGTACTGGGTTCTTTATAGTGCACATGAACCAATTGTGTACACTGGGCCTATGCTAATAGTCCTTATCCAAGCAGGATAAGGAAGCTATAAGCCTTTACAGTACTTGAGCGTGGTATATAATTGAGTATAACAATTAAACATCAGAAAGTAATCTTTATTGTGAGAGCCAGCTCAGACGTAAGACTTCCCTGTCTAGGTTGAATTGGCTTTCTATAATAGGCAACAACAACAACAGACAAACAACAATGCTCATCACAGGAGGATCTGTTAATGTTTTTGTTACTGTTTTATTTAATTGAAAATTGAGATCACTTTTAGCATCTCTTTGTTTAAAAGATGTAAAGGATATACAATCCAAACACAGCACTTTATAGTACAGTCTACATTCTCCCTTTCTCTGTAATTAGCTGAACTTTCAATAACAATATAATTCATGAAATATTAATATAAAACGTAAAATGTTTTTTGTCCCCTCGTAATTTGTCACTACTGTACTTTATTTAAGAAGGAACCCTACGCCGTAAACATAGTACCGCTTGACAATCATGCCTTTGTGAATATTTTGGCAGTTTGCCAATCTGGCAGAAATATAGTGTAATGTCCTACTTTTGAATTAATTAATGGCCTATATTTTTTTCAATTATAATAGGTTCATTGAAAAATAATAATCTTGCACTACTACCAATTCAGTGATGCATAAACAAACAAGCACAGAATTTAAGATGAGTTTAATGTGAATTTTGATGGGAACCGACAGACTGACTGACATAGCAAAGTATAGAGATGCAACGGTAGTGAGTGCATCTAAAAAAGTTTTATGATTTAATAACTGAATAAAAAATTTACAAATTTTTCGCAAGGGTTGACCCATGCAAGGGTGGTTGAAGAGGGTGTGTTCTTCAAAATCTTATACCGTCATGTTGTTTGTACCTTCATCTCTGTTCGTACCATTCATATCTGCTTGATATTGATTTACGAGGAATAAGCTTGAGCCTGAAAGCTGTGAGATGAACTTTTTGTAAGTACAGTAGGCGTAATCAACAAATGAATGAATAGAGCAGGTAACCAGGACAAAACAGATCGCTGTAGACACCAGCATATTGATAGCAGTGGGATAGGTACAGTAGCCACAATCCCGACACCAATAGGTCACCCTTGGAGAAAGTCTGAGATCCAATTATTAAGACAAAAGGGGAGGGGGGAGAGACCAAAAGAGGGAAGTTTAGCAATCAGGTCTTAATGCCAAACACGGTCGGAAGCCTTGGAAATAAATGTCAAGTGATATGACTCGGCTTTCACCAAATCGTTCAAGTGCAGGGGACCAAAGGTGGGTAACACAGGAAAGCAGATCGCCAGTAGATCTTGCATGATGAAAACCATAATTGGTATATCAGAAAAATGTTAATGAGATTCAAGGAAGGAAAAGGGGAGTTGCAAATAATGGATTCGAAAACTAAAGAAAGTACGAAAATGAGGGTGATTGGTTGGTAATTTTAGGGGAGGGATTTGTTACCTTTTTTTGAAGCACTCTGCAGATTAGCCAAAGGAAAACAATTCTTAAATATTCTATTGAATTCAGAATATATATTTCCTCTGAAGGACAGTAAAGTTGTGATTATGGTATGTACAGAAGTTTACAGTGACTTCTCCCAATTACATACCCCTCCATCTGAACACACTACTATAGTAAGATTTTAAGTACAACAGTTTTTACCTGTTCTTTCCCAACTTTTCTTGCAAATTCTTAAGTTGAGAATTCAAAAAAAAAATGTGTTTATGATTCAATAACTTTAAAAGCACCATTCACATCTGTTCTGTGCTTGCATTTCAACTTTCTGAAATGTCATGTCAGTGCCCATAGTTACAGTATTTGGTCCTTCCATTTTGTTTGTGGCTTCTTGGTGAACTGAAATCATGCCAGTAGCTTGCTGTGGTAGTCTGTACTTTGCCAACTAACTGGTACTGTAATTGTGATAAGGAGTCTATCTGATTTCTTCATTTTTAATTTTATCTAATAAGGTAACTCTCAGGATCGCCCGTAGCCATCTCATCTCGAAGACTTCAAGCTTTCGCCGTTTTTACTTCCGCAGTGTCCATAATGTAGATACTGTAGTGATGGGAGTTGGGACTGGTGTTCAGATTTTGAGTGACCTTGTGATGTGATTGGACCAGATAGTCGTCTTTAGTCTACCAATATCCCAGGCTATGTTCTGGTTTGACACTTGACGTCTTCGGCTATTGATGGTATACCAAGTAATATAAACTGTTGTCTTTATCAATAGGAATTTGGTTTAAAAGGGTGTTATCTTTTGGGTCGTCAGTCATAATCTTGCAT